TTAGTATATTATCTCTTTTGATCTGAGACAGGTACTATTATTAACCCCACTTTACAGATAAGCAAAATGAGGTGGAGGGGGATTAAGGTGACTCTTCCAGAGTCACATAGCTAGTATGTATCTGAGGCAGGATTTGAATACAGGTCTACCTAAGTATATAACACACTTGCTACTAACACCACATTTGGCTACTTTACTGTGCCACCCAATATTATCATAGTGGGGAGATAATAATTTTACATAGTGGGGGAAAAATGGGGCAGGAGATAAAATGAGATAAGGAGAAAAATGAAAAAGAAAGAAGATCAATACAGAGAAGCTAATTGGGTTAATGCCTAAAGAGAAGAGAGATGTAGCTATGGAGCTTTCCATATTGCTTCAGCTAAAACTTTTATTTAGAGGGAAAGATACCTGAGATGGCTCTCTGGGGATCTTGGTATTTAATATTATCATTAAATTTCTATTAAGTTTCCATGAATTTCTATATGACAGATAAAAATAGTTTAGAGGACTTAAGTAATTTATATTGCAAATTATATGTAAAAATTACTATTATTACATTGCAAGTGTTGTGGGAGGCAGTGCTGACATAGTGAGTGGTCAGCTGGCCTCAAAGCCAATAAGAGCTGGATTCAAATCCTGCTTCCTACACATACTGGTTATATGAGTGACTCTGAGCAAATCACCTACTCGCTCAATAATTCCCCAGGGAATTCTCTAAGTGTTATCTACACTGGTAGAGGGAATTTCCTCATAGACACTCTATACTAATGAAATCACATGGTCAGTCCAAAAGACATGCAAAGAAATGGACGTAAGCATATAATATCCTCTAATAATTACCTCACAACACATGATAGCCCTAAAAATACTTTTTTCAGAGGGATTAGGAGTGCTTTTTTTTTTTTAATGTAACATGGCAAGGAGAAGGTTGGGGATAGGAAGAGATGAAAGTAAGAGATAAAAGAAAGAGAAGGGGCGTAAAAAGAAAGTAGGTCAGATTTGGAATCAGTTAAATCTGTTAGATCAGTCATTTTTGACCATTTAGTTCTCTTTTTATTTTATTCTTTAGGAGGCTCTCTTTTATCTGGAAAGCACTTATCTTTTTACTCCCTTTTAAAAAAAATGATAATTTTTTTTCAAGCACATGGAAAGGCCTAGACAATTTATATTTGGTGGACAAGGGGCTTTTATTAGTCCACTTAAGCCCTATTCTGATGATAGCACGGTGAGGAGGTGACCCTTGGTTCTGAAATTCCTTGTCAGTAAAGCATAAAGCTCCAGTCTAACTAAATTCAAAGAAGCATATCACCACAGTGTGATGGTCACCAGGTGATGATTTCTTTTCAGTCATATTGACTCATGAAACAGTCTATTAAGAGCTAGAGGGACTGTGATCTGCATCAGCAGAATCTGGAAGTATTTAAGAAGTATTAGTTGGAACACTAGTACCTAGAGACCATTAATCTGAGATTGCTTTAATTATTGTGATCTGGAAACAGTGACTTAATATTTGTATAATGGAAGGTTAATGAGTTCTAAAATCACAAAATGAATCAGTTTTTGCATTGCTTTAACTTGCAAAATTAATGTTGTATTAACATAATTAAGTTACAGCTCATAACACTTCACAATCTTACCCCAAAGTCTAGGATTTCACTTTTTTTTTCTCTAGAGAATATATCAAAGTGTTGAAAGGCAGTTAAATCTCTGTTAAGTCATGACCTAATCATAATAATTAGATGTTGAAATAAATCATCAGTGATGTACAGAAAAAAATGGGCTGGGGCAGAGGCTCCTAACAATGCTGGGAAAGGGCAAAAAATTGACCTATGTTGAGTGTGGGAAGTATGCTACTTGAATTATACCAGTCTCAGAGAAAGTATTCTCTCCTTCTCTATAAAATGAACAAGACCCATATGAAACATATGAGTTTTTCTAGTCACCTTATCCCATTGTTGAACAGGTGTCACTAAGGATATTAATTGGTGTAGCTTAAAAAGAAAGCTTGTCTCAGTCAGGATTAGGCTTTAGTATAACTTTTGGCTTCTGCCAATCAGTCTTGGGTGGTGGTGGTGTTTGGTTGTTTTTCTCAGCAAAGATGCTGAAGTGGTTTGCTATTTCCTTCTCCAGCTTATTTTTTTTTTGGGGGGGTGGCTAGGCAAGGGGGTTAAGTGACTTGCCTAGGGTCACACAGCTAGTAAGTATTACTTATCTGAGGTCACATTTGAACTTAGGTCCTCCTGAATCCAGGGCCAGTGCTCTATCCACTGCGCCACCTAGCTGCCCCCTCCAGCTTATTTTACAAATGAGGAACTGAGGCAAACTTATTTAAGTAACTTGCCCAGAGTCTTACACAGCTCTTAAGTGTCTGAGACCAGATTTAAACTCAGGAAGATGAGCCTTCCTGACTTCAGGCCTAGTGCTATCCACTTTGCCACTTAGTTGCCTGTTTTGATTACTTGCAGTCTTGGGTACATGATCCTATTAAATGGCTTATAACTTGGGAGACTTCTGAAGGTAGAAGTGAAATTAGTTTGCTTGCCTGTTTTCTCAACTAGTCACTGGCTGAAAAGGCAGATTCCCTATCTCTGGGCAGGAATAAGGCCTTGAGAATGTGAGGTAATGGGGTGGGGGGGAGAGGGCACAATGGGGAACTGAACAAAATAGCTGCCATTATAGAGCTGGGCAGTTTCCTTTTCAAAGCAAAGTAATCATTTTTGGTATGGGACTATTCAAAATAACCCTAGGAAAGCACAATTATGCACCATTTAATTTAACCGTGTAGGATTCTCTCTTACAGAACACTCTTCTTTTAAGTGAGAAATATTTAGATATGTTATGGAGTTAAAGGAATATCTTTCATGGAGATTTTTCAGAACAGGACAGACAGCCAATGATTTAGCCAGACTGCTTGAAAACCAACGAGCAGATTCAATGTGGAGGAGATCCTGTCTTGCTAAATAAGTCCTTGAAAGGTCAATTATGAAGAAGCAAAAGAAACAGGTTAGAATTAGTAAAATGGAATACAATGAAACCATGGAAGAAACAAATCTCTTCTACTGGAAGGACACCTGCCTAAAAGGCACATATTTTTGACTACTGTATCAAGTACCAAAAACTTATATTTGAATGTCACCCATCAAAAAGACTTATCCATAGTTTTCCTTAAGCAAATTTCACTGAAAATCAAATATTTTTTAACTTTAAAAAAAATTTAAAAGGCCTATTTTATGCTTACTCTCTCTTTTTTCTAGTAGGTTTTCAAAATATGCTGCTGCAAAAGCTGGAATATTGTCTGGCTGCTCCCTCAGAATCTCCCGTGTCAGCCCTTCGAGAAGATTCCCAAATCCTTGTGGAATTTGGCAGTGGGTATTGGAGAATGGAATCGACATCTCTTTGGAAGGAACTGCCTATTATACACAGAGATTATTAAAGAGTACTGACTTTAACCTCCATTTCTGGACTTCATTTGGACAATTAAAATCCTAAAGTAAATGATTTCTGACAGACAAATACTTCTTCACTTCAATTTTTCTTTTCTGGTGAGACAATTGGGGTTGAGTGACTTGCCCAGGGTCAGCTAGGAAGTGTCAAGTATCTGACACCGAATTTGAACTAAGGTCCTCCTGACTCCAAGGCTGGAGCTTTATCACTGTGCCACCAAGCTGCCCCTTCAACTTTTCTTGAGCACAATCTCAGACTCATCTATACTTTCAAAGAGTTGTAGGCTTTCTTTGGATAGTAAGGGAACACTGCAAAGGAAGACCCATTTAGTGGGCCAAATCCTTTATTTCCACAACAAATATGTAGATAATTTGATGTAAATCCTTTTTAAACTCTGTATTTTAATTTTTTGGGGTTTACATGGAAAAAAATAATACCAGATACTTCCTTACTTCCCAGAGATGTTTGTGTTAAGGTAAACCATTAGTTAGGTTAATTAAATATTATGATTATAGAGTGCCCCTCAAATAAAAACCTTTAGGAAAATTTTGCTCAAGAACTAGTACAAACTTAGAGGCCCTCCATCATATCAAGGCCCAAGTGATGAAAGAGCCTCAAATTCAATCTTTACCTCATCTATTTCTGCACAGGGGGGTCATGTCACTCCCTAGATGTGCTAAGCTGCCATTCCTGAGGGTGAAACAAAGTCCTTAAATCTCAGAGGTTTTGGAGTTCTTATGTTTGTTGGCTTTGTCTTGCCCAGTTCTCCTCCTATCTTGCAGCAAAAGTTTACACCAGCTTTAAGAGAGGGTGAATCTCCAGGGTGGGTCTTAGAGGGTGGCGAGACCACTTAAGGTCTTGCTCCCTTAGGTGGGTTGGATAGGAGAAGGGGAGCCGTGGCGGGGAGGGAGGGTCCGGCTGGGTAGAAGGGCTGCGGCCACGGAGAATGGGAAGTAGGGTGTGATCAGGCCCCAAGGGGAAGGGGGTGTGGCGGAGGGAAGAGGGAAGTTTGGATCACTTTTAAGAGAGTTGCTCCAGGTGAGATCTCGGGCCAGGCTGGGAGATAGGCTGTGGGGGCCGGAGGAGCGAGAGGGACGGCCCCTGGACCTAGGGGGCGAGCCGGCGGCGACCCTCTCCGGGGCAGGCTTTCCCGGGGGACTGGGAGTCGCTACTGGGGAGATCTCCGATTCTCGGGGAGCAGGCCATTCTGGGTCGCAGGGTCTAAGAAGCGAGGTCAGTCGCCTTGAGGGTTCCGGGTAGCTTGCCGAAAGGGAGAAGGCGGAAGGGGAAAAAGGCGGCCAACAGTCGCGGAGACTGAGTAGACGGGCTGCCGTCCTTACCTCTCCTTTCTCTGGCTGCCGGTGCCAATGGTTCCTGTTGTTTCTTCTCGTTGCCGGGTAACCGTTTTCTCTGCAGTTTCCCTGTCTACGGCGGCCGAACAGAGCAAAAAGCTTAGCTTCGTTTTACTGGCGGAGCCTCCAGCGGCTTCATGTACTGAAGATGAAAGAGGCTGGGGTGGGGCTGGGCCCCGCCCTCATCTAAGCCCCGCCCCAGCCAAGCTCACGGTCTCCGCCCCGAGCCTTACACTGTCCCCGCCCCCAACCTGAAGACCATAGCCTGGGTGTCTAGAAACTATGATGATGACCTCTACCCTGCGGGCGCTGCTATTGTTGCCGTTGTTCCTGGGGGCCAGCGGGGGCGGCGGAGCAGGTGAGGTGGGGGCCGGGCTGCGGTTTGGCCTCAACCGGCTTCCGCAGGCTGCTCTCTAGGTCCGGAAGGCCTTTCCACAGCCTTGGCCTGAAGAGGCCTGTGAGGACGAGCCTGGGCAGCGTCTGGGGCCCGGGAGGAGAGGCTGGTGAAGGCAACATTTCCACCTGCGTTTTTTCTTTTTTGGGTAGTAGTGGACCCCTGACCACTGCATTTCAAGGGTTCGTAGTAACTAGGTAAAGCTTTGCCCTCCCTCCATCTGGAGTGATTTTGTCTCTCCAAGCCTCTGAGGGGAGAGGAAGGGTTACTGGCTCACAAATACAAGCCTGTCTGTCACGAGCTCAGAACATCCAGGCACACACGTGACTTTTGGCCCAGATGCAGATATATAAACAAGGTAGATAACCTGTATAATTGGGGAGCTTGAAAGGAGCAGCAAGTCACTCTGGGCTTGACTCCTGGTCATATCCTGCGGTTAAATCCCTTCCTATTTATGAGTAGGATGGGTACTGAGTCACATCCACGGACCACCCAATCTCTCTGCTTTGGGAGCAGTGCAAAGGCATCTGGAACTAAAGATCATGGGAAAAGGGCATTCCCCTAATAAAGGGACTGATTATAACAACTCTACCCCTCATCTTTTTCTCATCTCAGATAGCAAACTCAGGCCTCTTACTTGGCATCTGTCTTCATTTTTCTCTCCGTTATCTCTGTCATTACATGTTACCTTCTCTTTTTTATCTTCTCCCATGTAACTTTCCGTTCTTCCTCAGCCCAGTTGAAGATACTTAGCACTTCTTTCTTTCCACTGCCAACCCCACAAGAAAAGAAGGAAAAAACTTGTAGAAGTTGATAATGATGTAAATGTTAGGGAGGGCTTTTTTGAGTATATGCATTTGATAATATAAAAAAGCCCTGTTGTAAGAATGTCTTCATATTTCTGCCCAGATGCTAGGTAATCAAACAGGCATCAATCAACAAACATTTATTAGGTACCTACTGAGTGCCAGGGACTTCTGCACTTGCTGGGGATGTGAATGTAAACAAACACTCCATACTCTCAGAGAGCTTATATTCTTTCAGGGAAGACAACATATAATATAAGAATAGATAGAATAAGTGTGTATGACAAAGTAGATAGAGACGAGGCAGTTAGGGAGGTAGAACACTAAGTTTGGGGCACAAGATAAACTTTGTATAGAAGGTGACACTTGAGCTGTGTCTTAAAGGAAGTGAGGGATTCTCTGATGCAGAGGAGAGAGAGTAGAAAGTACATTCTACATATGGGAGACAGCTGGTACAAAGGTGGGGAAATAGGAGAGTGAATGCTATGTAAAGATCCCCCGTGGTGGAGGAGTAGGGGGGTAGGGATTAGGTGTTCCTGGCCTAACAAGGACAAACGATCCTTTCACCAACTGTGAATGGGAAAACAGTATCTGATACATCTTAACCTCATTTGAGATGTGTGTGTTAAGGATGATGTCAACTCTCTAGGTTAATTGATTATTACAAAGAGCAAAGAAGGCAGCTTGGTTAGATCTTAGATTCTGAGAAGGGAAGTAATATATAATCTACAAAGAGGTGGGGGCCAGGTTTTGAAGGGCTTTAAATGGTGCAATAGGGAATCATGGGAGTTGATTGAATAGGGGAGGGACATGGTCAGATAGGCATTTTAGGAAAATCATTTTGGCAGATGTGTAGAGGATGGATTGGAGTAGGGAGGGATGCAAGGCAGAGAGAGACTAATTAAATAGAAGGTCATTACCATAGTATAGGCAAAAGGTGATGAAGGTCTGAACTAGGCTGGTGGCTGTGTGAGTAGAGAGAAAGGGAGTTGGATTCTCCAGAGGTGGGGAGGTTGAAATGGCAAGATTTGGCAACTGACTATATGTGGGATGAGGACCAGTGAGGAATCAAAGATAACTCCCTGGTTATATATATTATGGTGGTACATTCAACAGAAAGCAGGGAAAGTTTGATAGAGGAGTAGGTTTGGGGGAAGCCAATGAATTTTATTTCAGATATGTTGAGTGTGAGGTGTCCAGGAGGCATCCATTTTAAAATGTCTAATAGACTGTGTGCAGGACTGAAACTCTGGAGAGATACTTGGGCTGGATATATAGACCTGTGATTCATCTGCATGGAGGCCATAATTAAGAGTCCTGTTATGTTGCAAGGTGAGAGGCAATGTGGTGTAATGGATAGAAGGCTAGCTTTGATGTTTGTTAGGACAGCCTGGGTTCAAGCTCTTCCTCTGACACATACCAGTTAATGAGAACCCTGGGCAAGCCAACTAAATTTTTAGTGCATCTGATAACTTTCTAGCTTCTAAGGTGCTGAATAGCTGTAGATGTGCATTGATAGTTTCCTAACTTGGAATTCACAGGTCTGCAAAAAAAAAAATGTGCAAGGCACTCTGGGATACAAAGGAAGAAAGGCTAGGGATACGAAGAAGTTAAAAAAATAAAGGAAATAGCCACGGTAATGTTCAACCATACACTTTTGTCATTATCATTTTTAGAATCTGAGCTCCTTGAGGTCAAGGAATGCTGTCTCCTTTATTTACCTCAGGATATAAAGAGTGTGGTGCCCTAGAGAAAAGCAGTGAACTGGAAAAAGTCCTATGACCTGAGTTTCTTTCTTTTCCATGACCTATGGGGTTTGTGACCTCAGGCAAGTCACATTCTCTGGGCCTCAATTTTCTCATTTGTCAAATGAAAGGTAGATAATCTTTAAAGTTCTCCTTTGCTCTATGAATTTTATGATTCCCAGATCTATTGCAGAGTTGTGCATGATGATTGTGCTCAAAAAAGTTTGTTGATGATGATGGATTGGGTTGGAAAGCTCTTCCCTGCCTCTATGTTACAATTTGCTCACATTTCTTTGCTGAGGTCCTTCTTTGGGCTTATACATAGCAAGCATTCTTTTGCATTTCATCTCCCCCAAATTCACTCCTTTTCTCCCCATCTAACTCCTCTGCTCCTGGTTATCATTTCTGTTCAGTATGAAGCACCTACCCAAGACAAGGCCCTCCCACACATATGCCTTACTTTTGGCAAACTGCCTATATGGTTATGCAATCTCTGGGATGTTGCATTCTGTTCTTGGTGCATTTTGCTAACTATCCCTAGCCCAGCAGCCCTGTAGAATTAGGTTGGTTCATTATAAATAGGAGAGGTCTTAATGACTGGGCTTTTGCTCAGAGTGGTTGTCCACTGAGAGTATGTGGGTGACTCCTTTGCCTGTGGTGCCGTAATAGGTATCATCTAAGGAACTTTGCAAGATTATTTGTAGAAGGAAAATTTCATCTTCATTAATTCTGATCTCCTTTCCTGTCTATTGTTTGTCTTTAGATCACAAAATATCAATATCTTTATTCTCACTTAATGATTAGAATGTGACAACATACTATTTTTAGATACATTTTGATGGACGTGTTACTGAGACAATTTAGATAATAAGCTTGTTATTAATAAAACACTTCAATATAGGCTCAGTGTTAAAAAATATAAACTGTCTTGTTAAAGTGAGTTTTTGTTTCGGTCTTGTTAGTGAATCTCTGGGACAGACTCTACATTTTCAACTGCACTCCTTTTTGTCCTTTTGCCAATTTAAGTTTCTGAAATAGGTGAATTTATACTAAGGATTTCTTATTTTTCATGCTGACTTTATCTTTGCTTTAGTCTCTCTATGTTCACTGTTAAGATAACAGGAGCATCTGTACTTAAGATAGTCTATCTGGCAGACATCTATAAATGCTTAAGAGTAGTCACTTCAGTACTCCCAGCATGTCAGCATGTCACAGTGAATTGTTTGAGGAAACTCAGCATTGGTAGAAGGATGAGCCAACATGGAAAAGAGAAAAACCAGAAGAAAGGAACAAATTGGATAAACGTATACTTCTTTAGTTTGCTAATTCAGTATTTATTAAGCTTAGAAATTTTGCTTGGTGTTGTGAAGAATTAAAACAATGAATAAAACATTGGCTTCTGACGTCTAGGAGCTTCCAATTTAGACTCAGTCATTGGGGGTGTCAGAAACCTTAGATAATGTAGGAGAAATTAGGAGAAGGCAGTGATTCACTTATAAATTCCCATTTGTAAGTATGTAACAGGAAATTATTAGTGGTAGGAAAAAGAGAGGCAATCCTTCAGGATTGAAGCATAGAGAGTAAGGGGGTAAGCAAGATATGAACTGCATGGAATGAAGGTAGGATGGCTGTGGGCTCTTTGAGAATTCAACATTGCTCATCTGTACTTGCTGTATAATGTTGACGCATATTCTGGTTAGGCTGTTTACTTGTTAGGAGGAATAAGTATGAGACTGTGGGATTAAATATACTATATTCCATTCAAAGCCTTTTACATAAAGACTATGTGTTGTTTATCTGCTTATTCAGGTTGTAATATTTCTAATGGAACTGTTCTGCCTTGTAGGTGTTAATTTTCGTTTTGCTTCCTACATTGGTGATCACATGGTGTTACAGAAAGAACCAGCTGGAGCTGTGGTCTGGGGTTATGGTGAAGTTGGAGGCATTGTGATGGTGACTCTGCACCAAGCTCAGGAAACCATCATGAAAAAGATAGCCTATGTGAAAGGTAAGGCAACCCATATTCAACTCAGCATCTGTCCTCTTGTGCCATCTGCTGGATTACCTGAAAATGAATGCTTGAGCTCCATTGTAAGCTGGCTTTTATGTAGGAACTGGTAGGTGCCAAAGATAGTACTGGAATTTGTGCTACAATTTTTCCCAAGGAGCATATACAAATAGACTACAAAAATAGGTTTATGAAGGAGGGGTCAGAAAACTAGAACGTGAAGAAACTCACATTTGGTGCTAAGTCAGATGAATGATTAGGAATATCATATTGTTAGTGATGCACACAAGGTAGGGCAGATGGGGCGGTTGCACCAAGTGACACAGGAGGTTAGATTATACGGGAATGTGGTAGGCCTTAATGCTTGAATGGAGTAGACTTCCTCAAGAGATCATGAGTTTCCTGTCACTGGGAGTGTTAAAAGAGAAGGTAGATAACCATTTTGGAGGAGTGTTGTAGAGGACATTCATCTATTAGACAGATTATATCAAGATTTCTTAAATTGACTCCATTCAGCCTGAAGATGTCTGTGAATAGATTTCAAGGAGTTTATAAACTTGAATGAGAAGAAAAATTACATCGTTATTTTCAGTAACCTTTGGTTTCCTATGTATTTTATTTTATGCTTTTAAAAACATTATTCTGAGAAAGGGTCTTTAGGCATTACTAGACTGCCAAAAGACACAAAAAAAGGTTAAGAAACCTTGGACTAGATCAGTGGTCCTCAAGTGGTCAGTGGACTCTTGGGAGTCTCTGAAAACTTTTCAGGGGATCTGTGAGGTCAAAACTATTTTTTGTAATAATACTAAGGCATTTTAATTTCCAAAACAGTCAATATTGGTAGATATAACCCCCCAAAATAAAAGGTCTTTAGAGGGTCCTAAGCAATTTTAAGAGTGTAAGGGGTCAGGAATAAAAGCAGTGATTTGCTTGAGCTCTCCCCCAAACCCCTCCAAATACTTATAAAAAAATGACTCTAAACAAATTCTAAAGCAGCGGAACCCACAAAAAGACAGAGTGAAACAAATTTCCAGCCAAAGACAGCCTGGATGGTTGATCAGAAAGGTCTATCACACCAGGCGGGGAGAGGAGCACAGTTTGGTATGGGCGCGCAGGCTGCAGCGGCCCTGGAGCAGGTCTCCGAGGACTGAATCTTGGGCAGCTGTGGTGGTTTCCAGACTCCTCAACCCAGGAACACCAAAGACAACTTAGAAAGTCAGTGGGAAAAGTCTGTGACTGCAGTGGTGAGAGAGGAGCACAGGATCTCAGTCCCATTCCTTGGGGCAGCGGCTGCTTCCTGAGCTTCCGGCCCACAGACTGAGGGGGAATCAAGTAGCTGATCAGAGGGGGATTGCAGGGATCTCTCTGCTGGTTAAGGATTCTCTTGCTTTGCCCGTGCTTGGATCTGGGTCACAGTTCTGGGTGGCCATCCTGGGGCTAGGAGGAGCACTGGCGTGGTGGAGCTTGTAGTGGCTGTGGAGAGGAAACCCTCCTCACAGTTCCAAGACAGAAAAGAGTGCTCATAGACCAGAGCAAAGGCCAGGAAAGGAGTAAACACCTTGCCCTTGATCATAGCACCTTGGAAGAACTGAAAATTTACAGGTCCCTAGAAGTATTTCTGAAAACAGCTGCACAAAACCCTTGAAGCTTGGGACAGTACATTCTCCACTTTGGAAACAGACTCTTACCTTAACAAAGAGTCTATAACTCAAGTAATTGGCTGAGATCATGAGCAAGCAGCGCAAAAAGAGTCAGACTATATTATCTTACTTTGATGACAAAGAAGATCAAAACATACAACCAGAAGAAGACAACGAAGCCAAAGCTCCTGCATCCAAAGCCTCCAAGAAAAATATGAATTGGTCCCAGGCAATGGAAGAGCTCAAAAAGGATTTTAAGAAGCAAGTAAGAGAAGTAGAGGAAAAACTGAGAGTGATGCTAAAGGAGACCCCAAAAAAATGCTGAAGAAAATAACACCTTAAAAAATAGCCAAACCCAAATGGCAAAAGAGGTCCAAAAAGCCAGTGAGGAGAAGCATGCCCTAAAAAGCAAAACTGGCCAAATGGAAAAGGAAGTCCAAAAGCTTACTGAAGAAAATACTTCTTAAAAATTAGAATGGAGAAATTGGAAACTAGGGACAATTTGAGAAATCAAAGCACTGTAATACTAATGCAAAGGAATGAAAAAATAGAAGAGAATGTGAAATATCTCATTGGAAAAACAACTGACCTGGAAAATAGATCCAGGAGAGAGAACTTAAAAATTATTGGACTATCTGAAAGCCATGATCAAAAAAAAAAGACCTTGACATCATCTTTCAAGAAATTATCAAGGAAAACTGCCCTGATATTTTAGAACCAGAGGGCAAAATAGAAATTGAAAGAATCCACCGATCACCTCCTGAAAGAGATCCCCAAAGGAAAATTCCTAGGAATATTGTATCCAAATTCCATTGTTCCCTGGTCAAGGAGAAGATATTGCAAGCAGCCAGAAGGAAACAATTCAAGTATTGTGGAAATACAATCAGGAGAACACAAGATTTAGCAGCTTCTACATTAAGGGTCTGGAGGGCATGGAATATAATATTCTGGAGGGCAAAGGAGATAGGACTACAACCAAGAATCAACTACCCAGGAAAACTGAGTATAATGCTTCAGGGGAAAAAATGATCATTCAGTGAAATAGGGGACTTTCAAGCATTCTTGATGAAAAGACCAGAGACGAATATAAAATTTGACCTTCAAATACAAGACTCAAGTGAAACATGGAAGAGGTAAACAGGAAAGAGAAAATTGTAAGAGACTTATTAAGGTTGAACTGTTTACATTCGTGCATGGAAAGATGATATTTGTAACTCATGAGACCTTTGTCAGTATTAGGGTAGTGGGAGGGAAAAATTATATGTATGTATAGATAGATAGATAAAGGGCACAGGGTGAGTTGAAGATGAAGGGATGATATCTGGAAAATAAAATTAAGGCATGAGAGAGAAGGAAGATACTGGGAGAAGGAGAAAGGGAGAAGTAGAATGAGGTAAAATATCTCACATGAAACACAAAAGAAACGGCTTTTACAGTGGAAGGGTAATGGGGGAAGGTGAGAGGGAATGAGTGAATCTAATTCTCATAGGATTTGGCTTAAGGAGGGAATAACATACACAGTGGGGTATGGAAATCTATCTTACCCTACAGGAAAATAAGGGGGAAGGGGACAAGAGAGCAGGGGGTTGATAGAGGGGAGGGCAGATTGGGGGAGGTGATAATCAGAAGCAAACACTTCTAAGGAGGGACAGGGTCAAAAGAGAGAGTAGAATAAATGGGGGATAGGATAGGACGAAGGGAAATATACTTAGTTTTTCACAACAGGACTACAGTGGAAGTGTTTTGCATGACTACACATCTATAACCTGTACCAAAATGCTTGCCTTTTCAAGGAGGGTGGGTGGGGAGGGAGGAAGGGAGAAAATTTGTAACGCAAAGCTTTAAAAACACATGTTTAAAAAAAAAAAAGAGTGTAAGGGGTCCTGAGACCGAAAAGTTTGAGAACCTTCTCATCTAGGTGAACCTTCTAGTACTAGGATTTCGTGATTCTTTGTGTATTTAAGTGACATAAAATAGAAAATTTTGGAGGATTGAAAAAAAGCATTAGTTATTGTTGATTTTGGACTCTGGTATCTAACTTTAGTAATAATAACTTATACTTACATAGTTCTTTAAGGTTGCAAAATGCTTTACACAAATTATCTCATCTGATACAATCACCTTATGAAGTGGGGGCTAGTACTATTCCTGTTATATAGAGGTGGAAGCTAAGGTGCAGAGAGATTAAATTACTTCTCTAGGCTACCAGGTATTGGAAGAAGTAATTTGAACTCAGGTCTGCCTGACTCCATTACTAATACTCTGTCCTTAATATCTGCTGACTCTTCACATCTTTTCAGTAAATCAAATGCTGAAAGCCATGGTACTGTATAGTTAGTAGGATGTTCTTAGAGTCAGGATGGCTTAGGTTTAAGTTCTGCTTCTAACTTATGCTTATGAGACCATGGGCAAGTCACCTTACCTTTCAGTGCCCTAAGACTATAATAATTTTCTTTTCTAAACTAAGGTTGTTTATTTTTTTTTTCCAATTTACTTCTTCCTGCACTTGTAACAAATATGCATGGTCAAGCAAAACAGATTCCCCCATTGGCCATGTCCACCTGTATATCTCATTCTAAACTCTTAGTTAATCATTTCTTTGTCTTCTGGTGCAGTTCTTTTCTGTGTCCTACCATAAATCTTCCATAGAAGGATTCATTGTGCCACAGACCCTCCTCCAGATCTTTTAACATTATGGAGCTATCAATACAGCACACCTCCTACCCATCTATTATTCTTTAAATTAATCTTTAAAAAGATTATATATTTTTTTTTATCAACAAAGTCTCATTCTCCCATCCCAGTCTCCCAACCCAAACTGAAAACTAAAGAAAAACAAACTCCATTACAAACATATCCTCAATCAAAACAAATATCCACATTGTCCATGTTTAAAAAAAGTCTTATTCTGCATTCTAAGTCCTTTACCTTTCCATCAGAAGATGGGTAACATGTTTAATCATTAGTCTTCTGGAGTCATGGTTGGTCATTATATTGATAAGAGTTCTTACTTCTTTCGAAGTTACTTGCCTTTCTCATATTACTGTCATTGTATAAATTGTTTTTCTGGTTCTATCCACTTCACTGTGCATCAGTTCATATGAATCTTACCAGGTTTCTTACAACACAGTAGTTTTCCATCGCATTTATATAACATAATTTGTTCATCCATTCCCCAGTTATTGTTTTTGTTTAGGACTAATCTCTCTCCTAACCTACCCTCCCTCTAATTCCTCTCCTTTTTCCGTGTTGAAGGAAACGTTATTTCTGTACCCAGCTGTGTGTATGTGTATTCTTTCTTTCTTTCTTTCTTCCTTTAATCAGTTCAAATGAAAGTGAGGTTGAAGTGTCAGCTGCTTT